ACCAAAATTCCTCCCTTCTATTTATTGTATCATTGCTATCATTTCATTTTATTCTAAGCATATATATGGTATATAAATAACCATACATAATTGCATACAGTATTTTGTTATTATTTTGAACAAACTGTTGCTTGTTAGATCAATTAAGAGTAAGAAAAATAAAAGCTTATCTTTTACCTCCACTTATTTCTTCTTCCATGTTCTTGCTTACTTTAAGTAGATCTGAGTTTCTGACCTATATAATTTCCCTTTCTCTAAAGAACTTTCTTGTAAGGCAGGTCTTCTGGCAACAAATTTCCTCAAAAGGAGAGCCTTTATTTCTCCTTTACTTTTGAATATTTTCCCTGGGTACAGAATTTTAGGTTGGTGGTATTTTTTTTCTTAACACTTTAAATATTTTACTACACTTTTCTTGTTTGGTTTCTGAAATGTTGACTATAATTCTTTGCATCTTTTTTATTTTTTAAGAGCATGGTTTATTTTTAATTGATTTTTAGAGAGAGGAAGGGAGGGAGGGAGGGAGGGAGAGAAGTGAGAGATAAACATCAATTAGTTACCTCTTGCGTGTACCCTGACCAGGCATCAAACTTGCAACCTAGGTATGTACCCTGACCAGGAATTGAACTCACCACCTGTGGTGCATGGGACAACATTCAACCAACTGAGCCACACCAGCCAGGGCTCTTTGTATCTTTATTGATAAGTTTTTCCCTCTCTGGTTTATTTCGGGATTTTTTCTTTATCTTTGATTTTCTAGAATTTGAAAATGATATGCCTAGGTGTAGTTTATTGGTATTTATCTTGCTTTGTGTTCCCAACGTTTCCTGGATATGTGGTTTGTTATTGGACATTAATTTGGGGAAAATTCTTAGTCATCATTGTTTCAAATATTTCTCACTTTTTTTCCTTTTTTGGTATTTCCATTACACTTAATGTTCACTTTTTGTAGTTGTCCCACAGTCCTTGGATGTTCTGTTTTTTCAGTCTTTATTTCCTTTGCTTTTCTGTTTTCAAGGATACCGTCGATACATTCTTTAGCTCATAGATGCTGTCCTCAGCCATGTCAAGTTTATTAAAAAGCCCATCAGAGAAATTCCCCATGTCCATTACAGTGGTGGTGGTTTTTTTTTATTTCCAGCATTTCTTTTTTTATTCTACTTTATCCATTAGCCCTTACTGTATTAACTGTAGTTAATTTGGATTTCCAACCTGATAATTTCAACATCTCTGTCATGTCTGGTCCTGATGCTTCTCTGTCTCATCAAATTATGACTTTTGCCTTTTGATATGCCTTGTAATTTTTCTTCATAGGTGGATATGTTGCACTACATGAAAGGAACTGTTGTTAATAGGCCTTTAGTAATGCAGTGGTTAGGTTTGAGGGGCGTGGAAGAGTTCTACAGTCCCATGAATATTTCTCAGTCTTTTGGTGAACCTATGCCTCTGAACTGTGAACTTCAAAAGTGTTTCTCTATTTTATTTCTTTTCTTTCAGGTGGTACATACTGGCTAGAGTAGGGTGGAGGTGATTATTCCTTTTCCCCAGGTCAGTTAGGCTCTGATAATACCCCCAGAGGTTAGACTCTGGTTAACTAGTTTCCCATCAGGGCAGACCTTGTTAAGATGAACAGAGTGCTCTGGGGTATTTCAGAATAGTTTCTTTTAGCCTCATCCTGACAAAGCCCAAGGGAATATTTTTCGGATATTTGCTGTGGGAATCTGGTGGAGTTCGTATAGGCCAATCTAACAATATTGTGGGTCCTCCTCCTGTATGACTATCTCTCTCTCGAGTTTTTAACTCTCAGACTTGTCTACACTGATCTTCTAGCAATCTATGAATTTTACAGCTCACACTTTCCTGTCCCTGCACAAGTTTCCGCTTATGAGGTTTTCCTGTGGTAAGTCACAACTTCTTGATTTGCCTGCCTATCTCTTCAGTCTTACCCTGTGTCTTCTCTTATGGATCCAAGAAGAGTTGTTTATTTTTTATTCTTTTCAGCTTTTTACTTGTTTTTAGGATGGGGTAGTACCTTCCGAGCTCCTTACATAAAGAATCTAAAACCAAAAGTGTGATTTTTTTTAAAGCTTGGCTGCTTTATCATTGTAAATCAAAATTAATTTTAGACTGTAATAGAGAATAAAAAGCATTTATTTGAGCAGGAAAAGAGCTGCAGCCTGGGAGACACAGATTCAGGTAACAACTTAAATTGAGTTTCATTGAGACAAAGGGGAGGCCATCTTTTATAACAAAAGTTCCCACCCATCAAACTGAAAGAGACTTTGCTTTGGGTGATGGGCGCACGATGCAGTGTGCAGATGATATTTTGTTGAGTTGTACACTTGAAACCAGTATGGTTTTGTGAACCAACGTCACCCCAATAAATTCAATTTCAAAAGTTCCTTCCCAGGTTCTCAGTTTGGTCTGTTTTATGTAAATGAGGTATCCAGATTGTGCAGCCTTGATTAGACAGGGCACATCTCAGTCCACTAGTAGAAAGATGAAACCAGGGCTTCCCTGCAGTGATTCATTCAGACGGTGAAAACAAACAGGCATAGTGTGGGAAGCTGAACGTTCAGGCTAAGGTTCTTCCTGGAATACAGAGTATGCGAGAAGCTCCTCTTAGCAAATGGCCACTAGGCTCTTATTATTTATAGAATTTGGGCCCTTGGTTGACCATGGGGAATGCATCTCAGCAGATAAATTCCTTCTTGAAGTTTACATCAGATAGATCTTTTTTCTTCAGAGTACCTTAATTTCAGTTATTGTTTGCGAAGAGGATCCCCCAAAGCTATTTGAGCCATGTAGGCTTACTGGCTCTTAGCTGATGGATCTCTGTATTTCTTTTTTTTATTATTATTTTTTATCCTCATCCGAGAGAGAGAAAAACATCGACATGAGAAAGACATATCCAGTGGCTGCCACCCACATGACCCCAACTGGGGTGGGGACAAACTGCAACTGAGGTATGTGCCCTTAACCTTAGGGGGAACTGAACCCAGGACTCTGGTCCACAGGCCAACACTGTAACCGCTGAGCCAAACCGGCCAGGGCGGATCTCTGTATTTCTTGAGGAATGCTTTGTAGTCTGCCCCAGATTACCCTCTGATTACTCCTGAGTGGATATAGCCAAATGCATATTCATAGCCTTCTGTATCTTCAGGGATGAGTGTGGCCCCAGGATTGTCTCCCCTCTGTTAAACTTCTCGCTTTTTTTTGTTTCTTTTTAAATTTCACCTGTTGCTACTATTATCATGGAGCTACCAGACTCTTCTTAATTGCTCACCCCAGAAGATCTCCATTGTTTTTGACAATGCCCCTTAGGCAGGAATATCTCCCGCTCTGTTTTAAATAAAGTCAGTCCTTTCAGGCAGAGATGCTGAGCTCTTCCACTTTATTGCCTACTTCTCCCCCTGGGCAAAACCTCTGTACCGCACTACTTGAATTGGGGGCAGGAGCATGGCATGCTTCTCCTGGAGTGACACCCCTGCTCTATGAGTGGATGCTGAAGAGATGGTTGTCCCTGATTTTATTAACATGCCCTCCTGGCATGGAAGCACTGTCCAATGAACTAGCCCGGGTGAAGGCCTTTAGGAGCCTAATATTCTTGGGTAGAACCCTTACCCTAAGAGTGAGAACTGGGTGGGGAAAGGAAGACCTCGTTCTTTCATTGTACCTGCCCAGAATAGCACTTCCACAGCAGACCTGAGGAAGATGAGAGGCTGGCATCCAGCCCCTCCCAAGGTGAAAGCATACCCTAGGAGTCTAGGAGCTGGAGGAAGAGGGAATCCTTACCTTCTTGACAGCATTCATCTAGAATAGCTTCCATGAGATGGAGCTAGTGTGGATAGCAGCAGGTGTGGATAACAGCTAGGAGCTCAAATGCCTCAGACTCTCACTGTTCTGAGATTTAGGCTTTTGGTTTTTTAAAAATAAATATTTTTCCAATCGCTTTAGACCCTTAGGACAATTTCCAGAGACTTTAAATGGTCATTTATTTTAACGATTTTCCCAAGAAAATGGTTGTTTCACTGGGGAGAGGGTCCACAAACTCCTTATATACCATCATTACAGAAGTTCCATCCTCATTGGTAATTTTAAAAACTGAATATAGAAGGTTTAATGGACCAAAGGAGACATCTATGGGATAGACTTCCAGTGACTAGGCCAGCATTATTGTGTCCTTGTTAGTAGCTGAAAACTCAGTTTGGTAGTTCTGGGTCTTTTTAGAGTTTTAAAAAAGGAATATTTCAAAGTAATGTCTTCAGTTTAATTCAGTTCACCAACATTTTATGGACATCTTCCCTTGGAATACCAATTTTATGGCGAGTGATCCTTGTTTTGCTTTTTAAATTTTAGGTTTTAAAATCCTGAGGCTCATATTAATATATTATTTGTGGTTATCAGAATGTCCCATAGATAACATGGCTTGGTAATTAAAGCAGAAAACCGAAAATCAAATTTCTCTACTTCCCAACCCCTTACTCGTTTTCAATACCAATGCAGGAAATATTAGAAATCACTTAACTGCTAAATTGGTTCTTTCAACTACAAAACGGAACTAATAGTGCTTCACAAGGGTGTTGTGAAGCTTAATAAATATTGCTAAGCATTTGTTTCTGTGAAAATCCTGTATTTGTTTTATTTTTAAAATATATTTATATTTCTTAGACTTTAAAATGTGCCCAATAAGAGCTTGTATATACATGTAAATTAGTTTAATGTAGTATATTTATAAATATAGCCAAATGGAAAAGAGCAATAATATAATTATAGTGTTGATTTATTTGATATATATAGCCTGAGAAAATTCTGGCTTTTTTAGTTGGAAAGTAATGCTTTATACAGTTGATCTTCATGTATTAATTGTCTAATAATCTGTTGTAGAACAAAGTAGAAAGGTTGGAATAAAGTATAATTATATCATGTCTTCTTAGTAATGTGTAATCTTAAAAAATGTAATCTAAAATTAATCTGTATTTTTTTTCTTTTTTAATGATTAGCCAAAGCTATGATATTGGGAAGACAAATAAGAACTCTGTTGACCCAGAAATGCTGGTAAGGATCATGTTAAATATTGCAGAAGTAGGTAGAAGAAATACAGTTTATGTTATTGTTATAAAATTATAATAGTCTATCCCCCCATTTGTGAATAGATTATCTATTGGGCATATCATTTACTACCTCAGTACATTAGTTTCTGTAAAATTGTTACACTAATACCTGTAGGGTAGATTCTTGCACCCATGAGTTAATATGTGTAAACAAGTGCTTAAACAATGTTTGACCATATAAGTTTTAGCTTTTATTATTGCATGTTAAAAAATTGCATGTTTTCCCCTAACCACCCGGATGGTATGGGAGTTAATTTTAATATTGAATCAAGCAAAATGTGATAATATAAATAAATGTTATGTAATACATGCCATAGTAAAATTGAATTTTTTTGAATATCCATTTCTGCTGCTTACCATTATAGTATATCAATCAAAATATAACCTAATACCTACATAAATCGGGCAATGTGATAGATGTGGCATAAAAGAGAAGAATAAAAACATGGCCTCTACCCTTATGTTTATGTTTAAGATATAAAATGAATATAAATGAATACAATGGAGTATTACTCAGCCTTGAAAAGGAAGGAAGTTCTGATTCATGCTACAACATAGATAATCTTCAGGACATCATGCTAACTGAAATAAGCCATTCACAAAAAGACGAATACTCTATGATTCCACTTAAAGTACCTTGAATAGTAAAATTCATAGAGACAAAAAGTAGAACGCTAGCTACAGGGGTTCGAAGGGGGGGGCATGGGAACTATTGTTCAATGGATACAGAATTTCAATTTTTCATGATTAAAAGATCTGGAGATGGACAGTGGTGATGGTTGCACAACAGTGTGAATGTACTTAATACTACTGAGCCATACACTTAAAAATGGTTAAGAAAGTTCATTTTATGTTATATGTATTTTATCTCAATGAAAAAATAAGAAATGTGTTGTGCAAGTGTGACAATGGGTTATACAGCAAGGAGAAAAAATGAACTATAAGAATTGAAACAATACGGACGTTCTGACATATAATGTTGAATACATAAAGCAGGATATAAAATAGTACCTACTGTATGATTCCATAAATGTAAATGCCAGAAGCAGGTAGAACTTACACGTGGTGGTGGAAAGTCAGGTAATTCATTACCCTTGTTTGGAATAGTATTTGTAAAAAGTCATGAAGGGAGCCTGTTACTGTTCTGTTTCTTTTTCTTTATTGTGGACACCATTACAGATGTTCTCCCATTTTCATTTTCCTCCCTTTTTCCCCCCTCCACCCAGTGCACGAACACACAGGCCTTCACCACATTGTTTTCTGTGAGCTATGCATATATGCACATGTTCTTTGGCTAATCTCTTCCAGTATCCCTTACCTCTTCCCCTCTGAGATATATCAGGCTGTTTTCATGTTTTTGAGATCTGTGTCATTAACATACTTGTGTTCACTTTATGAAAACGTGAATACTCTTGAGGTTTTGAACTCTTTTTTTTTTTTTTTTTAATCCTCACCTGAGGACATTTTTCTATTTTTTGTTCAGATAGAGCGGGAAGGAGAGAGAGGAAGAGAGAGAGAGAGAAACATCAGCGTGAAAGGGACACATCGAGTGGCTGCCACCCGCACAACCCAATCAGGGCCGGGGACAAACTGCAACGGAGGTGCATGCCCTTAGCGGGAACTGAACCCAGGTCTCTCTGGACCTCAGGCCGACGCTCTAACCGCTGAGCCAAACCGGCCAGGGCTGAACTCTTTTTGTTTTATACTTGAATTAAAATTTCCAAAATAGATTTTAAAACTGAGTACTAGTGAAACAATATGGGAAAACTAAGTGATAAACTGTATGGTACTGATCTGAACTTTGTACAAGGGCATGCAGAAAGGGGAATAATAGGGTTGACTGGAGTAGTTGAAGATGCCTTGTGGTAGGAAGTCCTTGAAAAGTAGATGGGGCTCATGCAGTTAAAATGAAGGGAGAAGGGAATCCCAGGCAAGGCGTCTGGAGGAGGAAATGAAGATGGAAGACAAGATTTAATTGTGATTGAAATGTAATACGTATATTGTGAAGTAAGATTACAAAGTAGTTTTTCTTCCTTTTTTTTTTGGTTTTAAGCATTTTTAAATTAAAGTATAGTTGGTGAAGTAGTTTTTCTTTCATGCTAACAGTACCTTATTGAGGTTTAATTTATGTAAAGTAATTTGTACAATAATTATACAAATATTAAGTGTACAACCTGATGAATTTTAATGTATCTATATAGTCTTGTTACTACCACACAGATCAAGTTACAGAAATTTCTGTCACCCTCAAAGTTTACTTAGTCCCTTTCCAGTTAATAGTCATCCTACCCTCAGGGTGAAACCACTATTCTGACTTCTATTGCTATAGATTATTTTCACCTTTTCTTGAACTTTGTATAAATGGAATCATACAGTATGTACTGTTTTATGTCTGCCTTCTTTTGCTTAACATAATAGTTTTGAGATTCACCCATTTTGTTATATTTTTCTGATTATTTGACCCTTTTACTGTTACAAAATAGCTACGGTCTTTCTCAGAGATGCCATAGTTACTTCATAAAGTCCTCTGGGAGAGTTTATAAGTTGAGAGTTGTTCCACAATAATAACGATATTAAGTACATTATATACATCTTACGTGACCTATATTAGTTTTGAATTTAAAAAGCTCAAAGGTAAGATACCCTAAATGTCACTTCTCTAGTTTCACAGGGCCTTAACATATGTGCTTAACGTATGTTTTTTAAATGTTAGAAGATCACCTCTGTCTGGTCCTACTGTCCTTATACATAGAGGCAGATTCTTCACTGAAATAGGGCTCCTTCTTTCAAAATGTGAATCTGTAGTTAAATATGTTCACACTGAATGGCGTTACTCCCCTTACCAATGTAGATCTGGCTGAAGAAACTTACTCAATTCAGCAATACATTATTAATTTTAAAATTTGGCTGAGTTGGGAGAAATTTTCTCTGTAGGAAAGTATATCTGTTCCTACTGAAATGGTGGTCTGTGTGCCTGGGTCCAATTGGTTAATCTCATCTAAGCTGTAAAGTCTGAGAAAGGCATTATGTCTTTCTATTTATCTCTTTTTGATGGAGGCTTGATACAATGCAACCTATATATAAGGTAAGTGGTAAGATGATTAAATTAAATACTGCTGTGACCTGGCCTTAGTTTCCTTTTTTGTAAAGTGGGGATGATAAAGTACTTGAATGCTAGAACACTGTTAAGAAAATAATTATATTAACACAATTATATTAAATTAAGATAAGCTATTACTATAAAATCCTTAGACAGTATTTGGTGTGGGTAGCCTAATGAGGACATATATCCAAGACTATGTGGTTACTTAAGGAAATGACGACTTATATTTGAGAAGATGCCTGTCACTGTGTGTATTGCAATTTAACCCTAAGCTGTGTGATTTTTTTCTATTTTTAATTATAGGCTAAAGTTCTGCGCTTACTAGCCACTGTTTATATGCATTGGGATGACAGAGAATATCATGATAAGGCTCTCAGCGCTGTAAACCTAGCAAACAAGGTATGAGTTTTTACTTGTAAAATATATATTTACTTGTAAATATTAGATTAATGAATTTTTAAAGCTTTGATTTACATTTTGAAATCCTGTTTAGGCACTTCCTGTAGTATCCTTAGGTTTTTAAATTTAATTTAATTTAATTTTATTTTATTTTAATCCTTACCCCAGGACATTTTTCCATTTTTTGTTAAGATAGAGTGGGAGAGAGAAAGAGAGAGAGAAACATCAACATGAAAGGGACACATCGAGTGGTTGCTACCCACATGACCAACCAGAATCGAGAACAATCTGCAACTGAGGTACGTGCCCTTAGCGGGAACCAAACCCGGGTCTCTCTGGACTGCAGGCTGATGCTCTAACCGCTGAGCAAAACTGGCCAGGGCTCCCTAGGTTTTTTTTAAACAACAGATTGTAATGATCTTTTTTTTTTTTTTTAACAGCACAGAAAGGAAAAATAAAGTATACCTCATTGACAGCAGATATTTTTGAAAAAAATAATTCTTTTGTATGAAACAAAGGCTTCTCTCTGTGCTGTGAGTTTTCAGGATAAAGAAGGAAATGTTGATAAGACAGGCAGATAATGGAATTTAGTTTAAAAACCAACACCATGAGAGTAAAGGCTGGCAAGGAAAGAAGAAAGAAGAGGAGATGGCACTTGAGTAAGCCAACCCACAGTGTGGGCCGTCACTGTGTGTCAGGTTAAATACAGTATTTTATTTATTCATTCAAATGAATGTTGAGTACTTCCTGTGCCCAGAGCTGAGTGTTGGGTAGGATTGATGAGGAAAATCAGACTTGGTGCCAGGGGGTGTGATGAGTGCTTGACATGTCTGTTGCAGGGGGTTGTGAGAGCAGCACCAAAGTTTGGGGGCAAGGGGTAAAGAAGACTTCCTGGATGGGTGCTGACAGTGACTTGGAGTGGAGGGAGGTGGGCAGGCTGCCCATGAGGTGTTCCAGGCAGAGGGAATAGCATGTGCAAAGACTTAGCAGCAAGAGAAATCACCACAGGCATTCAGGGTATTGAAACAAGTTCCCCAGAGGCCACCAAGGTTTATTCAGACAGGAGAAATCAAAAGCAGAGCACACAAATGTGAAGTGAGTAAATTGGATTTAGCAGGACCATTAAACAGTAGTCTGCCAATCCCTTCCCATGGGAAAGAGAAGGCCTGGCAGCTTTTTTAAACACGGAGCCTGCAGGAGAAGCAGAAAGCCTGTGGAGCTGCTGTGGACAAACTCAGCTGCCTTGCTGGCAAGGTCATTTGGGAGAGGAGAGCCTCTAGACCTGGCCTGCTGGGTCCTGCAGCCAGGTGTGTGGGGGGGTGTCTCTACCTTTTTAAAAATCCTTTACACGAGGCCCTGGCACCTGCCGTGCCCTCTGCCTGGAATTCTCATCCCCTGAGTCTGCTTGCTCCTCATTCCCCGCCCCCCTCACCCTTCAGGTGCAGTTCTGGACACGTTTCCTCGGGGATGTCTCTTCTGACCAACATCCACCCTGAAATGTGTCAACTCATGGACAGTCCATTCACCAGGGAGGGACTTCACCTTGTGGCTATTACCACAGTTGTGATTTTATATCTATTTGTGTGGATTAAAAAAAATTAATGACTATCTCTCCTGGTGGAGTGTAAGCTCTACGAGGGCAGCAACCAAGGCTGGTTTTGCCTGTTACTACATCCCCATTACCTAGCATTGTGCCTGGCACATAATAGGAGCTTAATAAATATTAAGAGCTAGACCATATCAGATGGCCAATATTAACCATCTGTGACCTATAGAATGGCAATTCTATATGAGTTGTCCTAATACTAATTGAATGAATTTGAGTTTTTCTGAGCACTATGGAGTTCATTCAGTACAAGGAGGGTCCACGTTGGGCCTGTTCAAAGGGCAGGTTTTTCCTGAAATTATTAAGAGATGAGTGTTTGGTCCTCAGTCATGGCCTAGACTTGAGCAGCACTTCTCACACTTCAGTGTGCAGTGGGAGCCCTTGGGGATCCTGTTAATGTGCAGATCCTGACTCAGTAGATCTGGAGTGGGGCCTGAGATTCTGCATTTGGTTTTTGTTTTTGTTTTTTTAAATTCTCACCCGAGGATATTTTTACATTTATCTTCAGACAGTCTGGAAGGAGAGAGAGAGAGAAAGAAAGAGAGAACGATGTGAGAGAGACACATCAATTGGTTGCTACCTGCATGATCCCAACAGGGGCCAGGATGAACTGCAACCAAGGTACGTGCCCTTACCAGAATCGAACTCGGGACTCCCTGGTTCACAGGCCAACGTTCTAACTGCTGAGCCAAACTGGTCAGGGCGAGATTCTGCAATTGTAACAGGCTCCCAGGTGACACCTGTTGGAAGGCAGCCAGAGGGAGGGGGGCCAAAAGGCAGACTTGGAGCCTGGTTGATGTTGTCTGTGCCTCACCAAGGAGCTCCTACTAAGGTTCCTTTCTCTTTTCTTTCTCGGCCAATACAAAATTCAGAACTTCTTTTGACAAGAGATGGGACTTCAGGTCATTACTGTAGCATCTGGGGAAAAAAAGCTGAACAGCTGCCACTTATAAATGAAAACTTTCCAGATCACTGAAACTTAGTCCTCCATATGCCCCAAACTGTTTTTCTGTTTTTTGTTTGTTTGTTTGTTTTGTTTTATCCTCACCCGAGTACATTTTTGCATTTATCTTCAGATAGAGCGGGAGGGAGAGAGGGAAGAAGAGAGAGAGAAACATCAATGTGAGAGAGGCACATGAAATGGCTGCCACTCACACGACCCCAACTGGGGCCGGGGACAAACTGCAACTGAGGTACGTGCCCTTAGTGGGAACCGAACCTGGGACTCTCTGGTCGGCAGGCCAACACACTAACTGCTGAGCCAAACCAGCCAGGGCTGTTTTTCTTTTTATTGTTATTGGTGGAAATGTTTAAAATTAATGTTATTCAGAACTATCTTGCCTCCTTGGAGTAAATAGGACAGAACCTGAAAAAATAAAAACCAACACCAGTGTTTTTTTTTCAATTCATGCTCATATGTACATGCATATGTACATAGACACATACATACATACATACATATATACATACATGCATATATGCCTCTACGGTGCTGGACACTGAGCATTGATAGTCAGGCTGATGATCATTTAAAAAGAGATTCAAGCCCTGGCCGGTTTGGTTTAGCGGTTAGAGCGTCGGCCTGCGGTCCTGAGAGACCCGGGTTCGGTTCCCGCTAAGGGCGCGCACCTCGGTTGCAGTTTGTCCCCGGCCCTGGTTGGTTGTGCGGGTGGCAGCCACTCGATGTGTTCCTTTTACATCGATGTTTCTCTCTCTCTCTCTGTTCCTCTCTTTCCCTCCCACTCTACCTTAACAAAAAATGGAAAAATGTCCTCGGGTGAGGATTTAAAAAAATAAATAAATAAATAATAATAATAAAAAGAGATTCAATTAGGATCAATATATTTTACTCAGTGAGGCAACCAAATAACTGATACATTTTTAGAACGAGTTTTTTTCAACAAGATTGGAAGCATGAAAATGAATAGTTCAATTAACCAAAGTATTGAATTTCCCAAACACACCATGTACTTGGATTATATTTTCCTGAACTTTATGACATATAGATGGTGTTATTTAATGCTGGAAATGTCTTTAATATTAAAGTTTAAAATTTTTTTAAATATTATTAGACATGAAAATTTTCTAAAGTTTTTTTATTTCATTTGCTAAGGTTCCAGTTCAAGTAAAAAACAGGGACCAAGAAAACTAAGGAAATGGTATGCCAGCTATATGCCTTCTTGCCAGCGTGTCTCTGTTCCCTGCATGCAGAAGTTGCAGCTTTTTATTTATTTTTTCCTTTATTGATTTTAGAGAGAGAAGAAGGGAGAAGGAGAGAGAGAGAAACATCAATGAGAGAGAACATCAATTGGCTGCCTCCTGCATGTCCCCCACACTGGGGATTTGGCCCACAACCTGGGCATGTGCCCTGACCGGGAATCGAGTCAGTGATGCTCAACCACTGAGCCACACATGCCGGGCTGTGCTACACATTTTTGTATAACTGGCAGTGCAGTAGGTTTGTTCACGCCAGCATCACCACAAACATTTGAGGAATGCATTGTACTATGACCTTAAGAAGGCTGTGATAAGAATTTCCAGCTTCATTATAATCTTACGGGACCACCATCGTATATGGGGCACCCTCATTGACTAAAACGTCGTTATGTAGTGCATGACTGTAGCATCAGATATAGCATTTATGTGTCATGTCTCTTTAGTCCCCTGTAATCTGGAACATTTCCACAGCCTTTCTTTGACAGTTTAGAAGAAGACAGTAGCTCCCTACCTTGTTTCAACCAGAAGTTCTTTATTTGAGGTTTATCTGATGTTTTCTCCGGACTGGATTCAGGTTATGCATTTGTGACTAGAATACTACATGAGTGATGCTGTGCCCCTTCCCAAGGCATCACATCTGGTGGCCCATCATGTCCATCTGTTTTTCATTGGTGATGTTAATACTGATCACCTGGTCAAAGGTGTTGCCTAGTTTCTTCACTTCTCATTTCCTATTTTTTCCTTGCAACTAATAAACAGTTGGTGGAGAGACTTAAAAATTATGCATATGCCTTGCTTATCATTAATATTTCTCTCTAGAGTTAGTGTTCTTGCCTGAATCAATCTTAATCATGATGGTTGCCAAATGATTTTTTTTTTAACTTTAGCACTCTATCCACGTTTGCCAGTTGGCTCTCAGCATTCTGCTATAAGCAGGAGCTCTCCCTGCTCTCATTTAACCTTCGTATATTTATTTACTTATTTATTATCAGTGTGAATTTGTGTATTATTTATTGCTGCTTTATAATTCAGTGCTCTTTTTAAATTTTTATTTTTCAGTTAGAATTTACATTCAATATTTTCTGTTTTAGTTTCAGGTGTACAGCATAGGGGTTAGACAGTCATATGCTTTACAAAGTGTTCCCCCCGCCCTGGCCGGTTTGGCTCAGCGGTTAGAGCGTCGTCCTGCGGTCCGGAGAGACCCGGGTTCAGTTCCCGCTAAGGGCATGTACTTCGGTTGCAGTTTGTCCCCGGCCCTGGTTGGTCGTGCGGGTGGCAGCCACTCGATGTGTCCCTTCACGTCGATGTTTCTGTCTCTCTTTCCCTTCTTCTCTCTCCCTCCCATAAAAAAAAAAAAAAAAAAAAAAAAAAAAAAAAAAAAAAAACACAAAGTGTTCCCCCCGATATTTCCAGTACCCACCTGGCCTTGTACATAGTTATTACAATATTATTGTTTATATTGCCTATGCTGTACTTTATATCCGTGACTGTTTTGTAACTACGAATCTGTACTTCTCAATCCTGTCACCTTTTTCTTTCTTTCTATTTTTTTTTTTTTTTGGTATGTGCCCCTAGTGGGAACCGAACCCGGGACTCTCTGGTCCTCCAGCTGATGCTCCCACCGCTGAGCCAAACAGGCCAGGGCAAACCTGTCACCTTTATCACCTAGTCCCTAACCCCAAACCTCTGGCAACCGTCAATCTGTTCTTTATATCTGTAAGTCTGTCTCAATTTTGTATGTTTGCTAATACTGTTCTTTAGATTCCACATTTAAGTGAAATCATATGGTATTTGTCTTTCTCTGTCTGATTTATTTCACTTAGCGTAATACCCTCTAGGTCACCTTTCTAATGCCACGACCTTTAATACAGTTGTATGTGGGCGTATCTGCATGTGGGCAGACCCGCCTGGAGACGGATAGAGGAGTTGTGTCTCGGTTCCTAAGACCATCGGAAATATGTGTTTTCCAATGGTTTTAGGTGACCCCTGTGAAAGGGTCATTCGACCCCCAAGGGGTCACAACCCATAGGTTGAGAACTACTGCTCTAGATCCATCCATGCTGTCATAAATGATAAGATTTCATTCTTTTTTATGGCAAGTAATATTCCATTGTATGTATGTACCACAACTTTTTTTATCCAATCATTTATTGATGGGCACTTGAGTTGCTTCCACATCTTGGCTATTGTAAATAGTGCTTCAGGGAAAGCTTATTTTCAAGAGACAGTAAGGGTGGACACTACAGTGCAAATGTTTATGGAAGTGAATAGATGATGATACAATAAAAGCAAAGTATTGTTCACTTTCTGGAGTTGTTTAGTAATGAAATAAAAGAGAAAAACAGTGTTAACTATGTGAGTATCATAGACTAAAGGAAAACAGATACTGCCCAGGTAAGTGGGAATCGAGCCTAAGTTGTATTTCATCATGCTCCTTAAGAAAGGTAGTAATGAAATAGATTAAAATGTGCTTTAGTTTATTCTTTGTATTAATGTCATCTATATTTGCAAAACCTTTTAATACCAGTGCTTACTTTCTCTAACTTTCCATTCTTAAGGCATGAATAGCTATAATCATGTTCAGAGTTTGGATCTAATGAGCACGGTGTTCATATAGATTATAGTTGGCTTTGTAGAAAGAAAAGTTCTATTCTGTGGGCCTTCACTGCACCTTTAATCTTAGCCACCTGGTTTAAAGATACACCCTGTCAGGCAAAAGTGGGACCAGGCTAGAGATTACAAATGTCTTAAGGCCAGCCAACAGGACTTGGAAAAACCATTCAAGAGTTTGTTGTTATGAAGAGTAAATATGACAGGCATATCTTATAGGAAAGACAATATGTTTTCTATTTCATTCAACCATTGTTTGTAACTGTTATTAAAACCTCAAAAAAATACCCAATGCTAATTGATATTTGGGATTTTGCTTACCAAAACAAGAATATGATCTTATGTTCTCACAGTTTAAGTATCGACCTTGCCATTTTCATAAATGCTTGCCACTCAGTGGAAATGTTTGCATGTTCTTTTTCTTCATTTAGATTGAATAAAATATCTGAAAATATCCCCAGGGATAGATTGGATGTTATGATCTGATGTTTTATAATTTTGATTTCCTTTGATCACGAGTCATCCTGCTGTGGTTGAATAAAATGCAATTACTTAAAAATTGTTTTTTATATTCCATAGTTTTAATATAATTGTGATTTCTTTGTTTAAACTAGGAACATTTAAACCCAGCTGGGATTTTCTTGAAGATAAAAATCCTTTTGAAGGGCGAAACATCTAATGAAGAACTCCTTGAAGGTATCATCTCTGTGTGTGAAGTGCAATTTTGAAATTTAACCACCATTTTGTTGAATATAAGATATTTTGTAGTATAATTTAATGATGACTGAGAAGGAAAATGATCACATAAGAAAGGGAGAAGATTGTTAACCAGGAAGAAAAAGAGAAAGGAAAGAATACTAGCAAATTTCATAGGTAGTAAAAAAAGAGCTGAATAAAAGCTATCAGTTTGCTTTTAGTTTAGCAGAGCGTTGCAGCTGCCCAACCTAAATTGTCTACTACCATGAAGAAAGATTACATGTTGATGGGAAAAGCCTTTGTAATGTTGTGATTTTTATAATTACTTGTATAAACATTGCTATTTGTTTTTCACAATTCTCAGGGGACTAGAATATACACATCACAAAATAAACATCTTGATATATAGCTGTGGGTCTTTTGGCAAGTTACTTAATTTTTCTGTGCTTCAGTTTCTTCATCTTTTTTGTTGTTGTTGTTGTTGTTGTTAATCCTTACCTGAGGATATATTTCTATTGATTTTTAGATAGAGTGGAAGGGAGGGGGGTGGAGAGAGAGACACACACACACCAATATGAGAGAGACACATCAATTGGTTGTCTCCCGCATTACCCTGACCTGTAACCTATGTACATGCCCTTGACCGGGGATTGAACCTATGACCCTTTGGTCCTTGGGCTGACACTCTAACCATGAACACTGAGCCAGACCAACCAGGTCATTTCTTCTTTAAAAGAGATACAACAATACTGTCTACTTCATTGTGTTGTTTTGAGAATCCTATGAGAAAATGTATGTGGAGCATTTAGCACCATACCTGGTGTATAGTTAATGTGTAATAATAATAACTATTACTGTAGTTATTATTATCATTGTTATTACTACTGTATAAGCTCCTTGATAGAAGGGATTTTGTTTTGTCTGCTGCTGGCCAGCACCAGGCACACAGTTCTTGGCCCCACAGCACACACTCAATATATTTCCTTTTCATTGTTATTAGTCCATACTGCTTTTAGTATCTTTGTTCATACACATTTTCCCATATTTATTTCAGATGACTTTTCAGAAATATAATTTCTAAGGTACAAGGAATAATAATACTAGCAGCTGCCATTTGTTGAATACTTACTAACTGCTAGGTGCTGTGCTATGTAATTTACATATATTATCTCATGTAACCCTCTCAGTCACCCCCAAGAGATTGGTGATATAGTCCCCATTTTACAGATGACACAACTAAGGTGCAGAAAGTCTAAGTAACTTGCCTATGGCCATACAGGTGAGAAGTGGTTTCAAATATAGGTCTTTCTGATTTCACATCTCAGGCTTTTAACCACTGTGTTCTTCACATGTAGGAGTACCAAATTGCTTTTCAAAAGGATTATACCAGGTTACTTTGTCATCCATGTAAGAGTGCCTGTTGGTATTTTCTCGAGCATTGTATATTATTATTTTACAAAAAGGTATTGATAAATGTTTTGGCAAGTCATGGTATATGGCAAACACTTAGAAAGTAGATTTTAGACAGAGAAAAATTATTGAAAATAGCTAAACTTCCTCATTAATGAAACTGACCGATTATTTCATTTTTTTCTCTTTGTTAGTTCTCATGGAAATACTACATCTTAACATGTCTTTAGATTTCTGTCTGAGCATTACTAAACTGCTGATGGATAATGAAAGGTAAAGAAAATTGAATTTTTTTTCTCTAAAGGCTAACCTTTTTCTAAGGTTTCTATGAAAACATATTGATCTATATCTAAATCTATATCTATCTATCTCCATACATACATCACAGAGCATAATATTTGCCATTGTGATGATCAAATTAGAAGATGGAACTGCTTGTTTAATGATTTAAACAATCAAGAGTCAAGTTAAGTTTAAAATTTATATTAAAATTTTTTAAATAACATGAAAAAGGAATGAGATAGTCATGGCTTTATAAAACAGGAGATAGACTAGGTTAACCTGCAGGTCATTGTCACATGGAACAGGAAGTATAGTTCTGCAAGTGATATACCTCTACCTTTTTTTTAAATCCTCAGCAGAGGATTTGTTCTTTTTTTTTTTTGAGAGGGAGAGGCATCAATGTGAGAGAGAAACATCAATTGGTTGCCTCCCATATGCGCCCTGAGCAGGGATCGAACGCACAACCTTATTGTGTACATCAGGTATTGCTGGTGGGAATTTAAATTTTTATGTGCATCCATTGGTGTTTCCAGGGTGCCATCATCAGCACCCACCCTTTTGGAGGGTAGGTTGACAGGATCAAAATTTAAACTGCTCATACTTAGCAGTTTTATTCCTTGATATTTACATGTGCTACTTCACATAAGTTTACAAGGATATTTGCTCACACATTGCTTATAATGGTGAAACATTGAAAATATTCTGAATGTCATCAATAAAGGAATAAATAAGAAACGTAAGTTATCTCTATAGTACACATTACTATGTGGCAGTTAAAAAGAATGAGGTAAATCTATGCATAATGATCTCTAAGACATGCTGTTGAGAGAAAAGGAAAAAGGTATGCATAAAATGTCATTTATATATTTTAAAAACTGTGTTTCTATAGATACAGACATGCATGTAAATGCACCAAGAAAGGACTGAAAAAGGACACTTACCCAATGTAGAAATAGTTACCTCTGAGAAAGGGACTGGGACAGGGAAATGTCAGCTTTATCTTTGCTGTTTGCATTTTGTTACTTAAAAAAGTTTTTTAAGGTTTTAATTAAGTTTTTAATTATAAAGTACACATTTAGCATCTTAATCATTTTTAAGTGTACAGTTTACTAGTGTTAAGTACATTCATATTGTTTTGTGACCAATCTCCAGAACTCCTTTTATTTTATAAAACTGAAACTCTGTACCCATTAACTCCCTTTTCTGCCTTTCCCCCAGACCCTGGCACACACCATTTTACATTCTGTCTCAGTGAACTTGACCACTCTAGGTACCTCATATTAGTGGAATCATGCAGTATTTGTCTTTTTCTACTGGTGTGTTTTACTTAGCATAATGACCTCAAGGTTCATCCATATTGTAACATGTCAGAATTTCCTCCCTTTTATTTTTTTAATTAAAATAAATTTTGGCTTACAACAACATAGATTTATTATCTTAAAGTTCTGTAGTCCAGAAGTATTACATCAGACCAGGCTAACCTTAAGGTGTTGGCAGGGCTGGTTTGTTTCTGGAGGCTCTAGCCTTTTCAAGCATTTAGAGGCCACCTGCACTCCTTGAGTTATGGTCCCCTTCCTCCATCCTCCTCAAAGCCAGCAAGGCCAGTTGACTCATCCTCCGCTCACATCACTGGGACACTCAGAATTTCTTCCCTGAATAATACCCCATTGTATGTATATATTACATTTTGTTTATCCAATTCATCCATCAGTGGAGACTTGGGTTACTTTTACCTTTTGACTTGTGAACAATGCTGCTGTGAACATGAATATACAAATATTTCTATGAAACCCTGGTTTCAATTATTTTGGGTTTATACTCAGAAATATAATTACTAAATCATAATGGAAATTCTATTTTTAATGTTTTAAAGGAATTAACATACTGTTTTCTATAGTGGCTGCACCATTATACATTTCCATCAGCAGTACACAAGTTTTCCAACACTTGTTTTTTTTTTTTTTAGAAGTAGCCATCCTAATGGGTGTGAGGTGGTATCTTGTGGTTTTAATTTCCATTTCCCTAGTGATTAGTGATATTGAGCATCTTTTCATGAGATTGCTGCCATTTGTATATCTTCTTTGGAGAAATGTCTAGTTAAGTTCTCTGCCAATTTTTTCAATTGTTTGTTGAGTTTTAGGAGTTCTTTATATATGTTCTGGGTATTAGCCCCCTATCAAATATCTTATTTGCAAATATTTTATCCGAATCCATTACCTTTTTACTGTTGATTGTGTCCTTTGATAGACAATATAAATTTTTATATACTTCAATTTCTTTATTATTTACTTTTGTTACCTGTGCTTTTGGTGTCATATCCAAGAAATCATTGCCAAATCGAATGTTGTGAATATTTCCCCCTATGTTTTCTTCTAAGAGTTTTTTTGTATTTTAGCTCTTCTGTTCAGGTCTTTGCTCTATTTTGAGTTCATTTTTGTATATGGCGTAAGGTAAAGATCAAGTTCCATCCTTTTGCATGTGGATTCCATTCTTTTGTTGAGAAGACTGCTCTTTTCCCCATTGAATGGTCTTGGCACCCTAGTGGAAAATTATGTGCCCATATATACAGGAATTTATTTCCAGACTCTATTCTATTTCGTTGGTGTATACATCTGTCTTTATGCCAGCACCACACTGTTTTGATTACTGTACCTTTGTAGTAAATTTTGAAATCAGGAAGTATGTGTCCTCTAGCCTTGTTCTTTTGTTTAAGGATTATTTTGGCTCTTCAGAATCCCTTGAGATGCCATATGAATTTTAGGATGGAGTTTTTCATTTCTATACAAGATGTCATTATGATTTTCATAGGGATTGTATTGAATCTGTAGATTGCTTTAGGAGTATTGACATCTTAATAATAATACATCTTCCAATCCATTAACTGGTTGAATTTTTAAACAATCAAAATATACTGGTATTGTTTGTGTAATCAAGCATAAGTAAATATTTATAAGGAATTGTTGGCAGAGGGAACTGGTAAATTTATTATTTTTTTTAGTATGTTTTTATTGATTTTTTAGAGAGAGATAGAAACATCTATATGAGAGAGAAACACCAATCAGCTGCTTCCTTCCCGCCCCCTACTGGAGATTGAGTCTGCAACCCGGGCATGTGCCCTAACTGGGAATCGAACCAGTATCTCGAAGTCCATGGGACGAGGCTCAATACACTGAGCCACACCAAACAGGCTTCTCCTTTTAGTTTTACTGAAATGTAAACGACACTAAACACTGTATAAGTTTAAAGGTGTACAGCATAATGACTTGAGAAGGTGGTCAAAGGTACAAACTTCCAGTTACAAGATAAATAAACACTAGCGGTATACTGAACAACATGGTGATTATAATGATCATAGCTGTATGGTGTATTTGAAAGTTGCTAAGAGAGTAAATTCTAAAAGTTCTCATCACGAGTGACTGGTAAATTTCTAATGTCAGTTTATGTATCTTCACTGGATCTTATCCAATTTTTATAAATTTGCATCATTTCTGGAGAAAAAGCATAAATAAGATATTAGGAGAGAGAGAACTATCTGACTACAGATGAAAAGAAAATGTTTGGCTTAATGAATTAAACAGAAATTGAATTAAATGGTTTACTTTGACAGATAGACTTATTTAGACATTTAATGATACTACTTAAGCTTAGATATAGTTTTATCTTGCCTCTTTTGCTCATACTCAAGTAAACTGTAGTCCCATTGATTAAAAACCCAGTTATTCTATTCACACCACTTACAACTTTGTTTCATTGAACAGAGAATTGGTTGGATTTCATTTCCTGAAGATTATTTCTGACCATTTTAAGTCACCAGAAAATATGGGAAGAGCTTTAGTGGTCCACATTGACATACTTTTACAAAGGAAGGAAGAACTGTTTGCCCAGGAGAAGATTGAAGAAGTCATTAGAGGTCAGTAGGATTTCTACAGGTGTTTTAGAAAGGTGTTAATATGCATGTAATTATCAGATAGATGTCAGAACAGTAGCTAAATACTGAGGTCAACAGATTTTTTCTTTTTCTCCTTTTTTTTTCTCCCTAATAACCTTTAACTATAATTACATACAGTGGAAAATTGTGATGTTGGAAGCTTAATCTCATGTTTCCAGTTTGATCTCAAATTAGCTGTGTGCCTTTGGGCAAGTCGGTAGTATCTCTGGATCTTGTTTTTTCCTAACTATGAAATGAAGATTGTGAGCTATAATTCCTGGTTTTAAAGTTCTTTTTGGCAGCAGCATCCTTTTGTGATGCAATTTTATATGAACTCTGTCCCAAAAAGAATATAGTGGAGTTGCTCTGGTTAAAGCAGAGCTGTAGAACCAAATCTTAGCATTCCCTTAATCCCCACCTCTCTGTAAAACTCTATATCCTGAAGAATACAGATAGTACGATCCCTTTGTTAGAAAATTCTCAGTCCAATTTCTTCTTCTAACTCTACATGTATATAGAGATATAGTTACTAAATGTTAACACTGGGATTTATTCTGAGTGATGGCATTTTAGGTGATTTGTAACTTTCTATTTTACCAGATTGCTTGAGTTTTATAAGCATGTTTTATATTTTTATGAAAATATAGTCATTGATAATTATTTAAAAGAATAGTTTATTGATTTTTAGGGAGAGAGGAAGGGAAAAGATGTGAGAGTGTAATATCAATCGGCTGCCTCCTACATGCCCCTTACTGGGGACTGAGCCCGCAACCCAGTCATGTACCTTGACCAGGAATCAAACCAGCAACCTCTTGGTGCATGGGACGATGCCCAGCCAACTGACCCACAATGGCCAGGGCTACTTAGTGATACTATTTTAAAAGAAATCTTTTGACTAAATAATTTCTAAGCCTTTTGAACTCTAGATTCTATGAACCATATTTTACTGATGACACCTTTTCTCCAGATCCTCATTAGGAATCTAGTTATTTTAGACCCAATTTTAATAAGCTTGGTCATCTGGTTTTTCTAACCCTTAGCATTTTTGAAAATATTTTTTATTGATTTTTAGAGAGAGAGGAAGGGTGAGGGGGAGAGAGAGAGAGAGAGAGAAACACCGATGTGAGAGGGAAACATCGATCAGCTGCCTCCTGAATGCCCTCTACCAGGAATTGACCCCACAACCTGGGCATCTGCCCTGACTGGGAATTGAACTAGCAACCTTTCATTGCATGGAACAATGCCCAGCTAGCTGAGCCACACTAGCCAGGGCCAACCCTTAGCATTTTAATGGTAGCATATTAAGAAGAGTGAAAGGTGCCCTGGCCAGTTGGGCTCAGTGGTAGAGCGTTGGCCTGTGGACCAGTGAGTCGTGGGTTTGATTCCGGCCAAGGGCACATACCTCAGTTGCAGTTTGTCCCTGGCCCTGGTCAGAGTCATGCGGGAGGCAGCCAGTCGATGTGTTCAGAGTCGTGCGGGAGGCAGCCAGTCGATGTGTTCCTATCATGTTGATGTTTCTCTCTCTCTCTTTTTCTCTACCTCTCTCTCCCTCCCACTCTATCTGAAGATAAATAGAAAAATATCCTCGGGTGAGGATTAAAAAAAAAAAGAGTGAAAGGCTCTACAGGGAAATATATGGGTAACTTGACCATTAGATAGGGGAAAAAAACTACAAATTGTATGAAAGTTTCAAACATTAAAAAATATATAGTAATCTGTACTATACTCTATAATAATTACCAAAGGCATCGCTGTGATATATTAATAGTACAATTACAATAAAATACAGTACTTGTTAGTGTTCTTGACTTTGAATGGTCAAGCAAAGGTTAAAATGTGCTTCAGAAAACTAGAAAGTATGTTTAGAAAAACAATTTATAAAACAATTTTAGAAAAGTTAAGAACTTAATGAAATGATTTCGACTTTTTAAAATAAAATGTTTTATGTTTAATAAAAATAAACTGTCAGTCAATTAGAAAACTTGGTTATCCAGAATAACTAATTTTCCTAAGATCACAGGAAATCTTAATTTTATGATACCTGATTCTACACTTATACTCTCAAAGTATTAATAAAATTTTAAGTAGGTACATTAAGTAGCTTTTTACTCTCATGTGGGTATTTTTAACTAAGTCATGGAACATACTACATCTGCTGACTAGGCTTGTGAGTCAGAGAATCTCAGTGTTCTAATCAAGACTTTGTGGAAATTGATAGTGCCAAAGGGGTAAAAGAGAAGTGGGTATAGAATTATATTACTGGTTTAAACTTTACCTTAATGTGTGCTAATATATTTGAACCCTGTAAATGTCTAGACCAGAAACACTCAGAGACAAGTTACAATTTAAAGTAATAAAGTTTATGTGTAGACATTGTTTTAAAGTGTTTTACAGAGGCTTTAAGGTATAATTGGCCTTTCTTGTGAACTTGATGTGATCTGGTTAGTACATAAAAAAACATTTCTTATTAATGATTTCCAACATTGCTGCCTGTTCATTCACAATAACATTAAAGCACCAGATGAAGATCAAATTTGGAACATGGGAAATACATTAAAGAGAGACTGGGATGGAAAACTTCACAGAGTGATAGGCGAATTACTGTGAATCTACCGAACTCTGATTGTATTGTATAACCCATTTTGCTAGTAAACCTAAAATTGATGACGCAACCCTGTCTAAATGTGATTGTGTTTGTAGCCATTACTTAAAGATTATAGGTTCTGAATATAGTTAGCTCTTTTACTTAATGTAATAGATCTTGATTCTTGTTTGTGGATCTTGAGGTGGTTTTTGTTTTTTTCAGGTCAGCAAACAGGAAGACCACTGGCAACAGAATTAGTAGGCTATTTACACAACATTCTGTGGAAAAAAGCTTCCAAAAGTTTTGAGGTTTGGAAATGTCTTTTTGTTCTTTATATTCTTTTTCAACCCCAACGAATGAAATAGTGTGATGACTATAAAAATCATAGAGCATCAAATACTTTAATAATCTCTGTAGTTATTAAATATTTATAATGAACAGTGTTAATGGGCATTGAACAAGAATTTATTTTAAAATATTAAGACATGATTCGTCCCCATTGGGAACTTACACTGTAGGGAAATGACATCACTGATATTAAGCTATAGAAAAATAATTTATTTTAACATGAAGAATGAGAAACCCTGAGGGGTTTTATTCCCTTTAAAACTTGGGGTGTGAAGCACGGAGGCTTTCTAGGGTAGTGAAAATACTTTGGATGATACTATAATGATGGATAGATGTCATTATACATTTGTCTAAACCCATAGAATGTACAACACCAGGTGTGAACCCTAATGTAAACTACGGACTTTGGGTGATTGTGATGTATCAGTGTAGGTTCATTAGTTGTAACAAATGCACCGCTCTAAATAAAAAACTTTATAAAGTTGTGGTACAACCCTGGCTGGTTTGGCTCAGCTGTTAGAGCATCGGCCTGTGGTCCAGAGAGTCCTGGGTTCGGTTGCCGCTAAGGGCATGTACCTCAGTTGTAGTTTGTCCCCGGCCCTGGTTGGGTCGTGTGGGAGGCAGCCACTCGATGTGTCCCTTTCACGTCGATGTTTCTCTCTCCCTCTCACTCTATCTAAACAAAAACTGGAAAAATGTCCTCAAGTGAGGATAAAAAATAAAGTTGTGGTGCAATAAAACAATACAAAAAAAGTAATATATTTTCTCTTTATAAATAATGCAGGTTTATTGTAGAAAAATTTGAAACTACAGATAAGGTTTTTAAAAGTTATTTGCAATCTAATCACTTTTAAAATTTTGGCATATTTTCTTCTAATCTTTGTGTGCATTTGTGTGTCTGTATGTGGGGGGAAAAAGGGATATACTATTATAAAAAGTTATGGTGGATTTCCACTTCCAACCAAGATGTAACAGAGACCAGATTTATGTCTTTGCCTGAACACAACTATATAAGGATGCAAAAGGATAAAGTTAAAATAGAATGTAGAAAAAGAAAATAGCTGTATTAGCATGGTGAATTATGGGTGTTCTCTTTAAAAATGTTTATCATTGTCGTTTTAACAACTTTTAAATTGTATTTAGAGTTTAATAGCATGTTTCATCCCATGTGTGAAATCTCTCTTTTTTAAACTTTATTGAGATATAATTGACAAAATTATAATTAAAGCGTAAACTGTGATGATTTGATTTGATACACATAGACATTGTAAAAGGGTTTTAACAATTGATTTAATGAACACATCCATTACCTCACATACTTACCTTTGAATGCTTACCCAGAAGTGGGATTGTTGGATCACATGGCAGTTCTATTTTTAACATATTGAGAAACCTTTATACTGTTTCCCATAAGTGGTCATACCAGTTTACACTCCTACCAACAGCCTACAAAGTGTCCCTTTTCTCCACATCTTTGCTAACATTTGTTATCTTCTATTTTTTTTGATGATAGCCATTCTATGAGGTATGAGGAGATAATCTTATTGTGGTTTTGATTTGCTTTTCTTTGGTTATTATTTATGTTGAGTACCTTCTCATGTACCTGTTGGCCATTTGTATGTTGTTTTTGTATATTTTGAATATTAAGCCCCTATCGAATATGTGGTTTGAAAATATTTTCTCCCACTCCATAAGTTGCCTTTTAATTTTGTTGATGGTTTCTGTGAGATTTCTAATGCGAGGGAAGAGATAATGTTGTCACTTTATCTGTAACTTAAATAACTATAAAGACTGATAATTAAATGCACTTAGAACTCAGCTAGAAGCGGGTGTGGTGTTTTGGTTGCCTAAAAAAAGAAAACAGTACCATTTTTCTGTTTGTTTCTAGAAGTAACTTGAAAAAAATTAGAGTCAAATGTAGAGATAGCCGTGTGATTTTCTTATTTCTTTTTAAACTTTAGGCACACAATTATACCGATGCCCTATGCTGGTACTATTATTCTCTGAGACTTTATGAATCTGGTAAAATGGATATGGAATTCTCCAAGCTGAAGAGGAACATGGCTTCCTGTTACCTGCATTTGAATCAACTTGATAAGGTCTTTTGATTCATCTGGTTTTCAAAGGCAGCAAATGTTGTCATGCTCAGTGGCAGAGAGAGGGATGCAGTGGTGTGACTTCTTGGCTGTTAGGTCAGGATATCTAAGAATTCCATCATACAGGACAAAGCCAAATTGATACTTTCCTGATTTGCTCACTTCCAGAAGGAGAGAGAATTTGGGAGACAGTTAATTTTATTATTTACTCTTTATTTTTTGCACCCTGTTCTGAAAGGTAATATATCATTGGAACACCTGAACAAAGTTATCTGCTATTAACCATCTGCAATATTTTCCTTTGAAGCAGACTGAATTTTAAGGCACACATTTTTTTTGGACAAGGATTCAGTGAGAACAAATACTTGGATGAAATGGTCATTCTTCTCTCTAGCTTAGTTCCTTTCTCTTTGAGAAGAAGGAATGCATTTTATTTTATTTTGCTTTAAAATGAAATATTGAATCATAGGTCACAAGTTAAATTTGGGCAGGTAAAAGGAATTGGAGAATATATTCCTCTGAACTCTTAGTAGATTATATTACAGATTCATTAGTTCATGCATTTGGCAACATCTTTTTGAGACAACAGTGACTTAAATATAGGTCATATCTTTGTCTTGTTTTTTTCTACGTTATATAAATGTAAATTTCTAATTGCCCTTATCCATTGAGCACCTGTAGTACTTTATGTGAGACAATATTAAACTATATAGTTTTACAGACATGAACTCTACTTTTAGGGAGTGGACAGTACCTTAAGCCCAGTATCCTAATTTTATTTTTTCATTTTCTTTTTTATCTTTTTTTATTATTTAATTTATTTTTGTTACATTTTAATTTTCTTTTTTAAAAATTATTTAATTAATCAATTTATTTTTGTTACAGATGTTTCTTCTTTCTCCCCCCAGATACCCTCCTCCCTATCCCGCCCCACCCAAGCATTGTTATTTATGTCCATTGGTTATGCATACATGCATATGCTTGAATGGACAGACTTAGTGGGGGCGAAATGGGCTTGGGTTCTAAGTATAGGAGCAATTTATCACAACTTGATATAATGGGATTTTGCTGCAAATCAGTGATTATCAACTTGTATTCTACAAGAATTTTTAAAACATGCAATACCTGACTATTTAGTCAGGGGCACTGACTTCTTTTTTCTTAGAATGTCAAATTAAAAAATGACAACAGCCAACACAACAGCTGTCTGGTGTGAATGAATAAAAATTATACCCACTTTTTTGTGTATGAGACTGGCAAAAAATATTTTTTGGTTTGCCGCAGAATTTTGATAATTACTTTATGTGTGCCTGAAATGAAAAAGTTTGAAAATTGCTGCTGTAGTCCTGGGTTGGCTCAGTGGTTGGAGCATCGGTCTGCAGACCAGAGAGTCCTGGGTTTGGTTCCCGCTAGGGGCGCGTACCGAAAAAAAAAGAAAATTGCTGCTGTAAATCATAATAAAACCTGAATTTTTGTTAACAGGTGGATAATGGATTGTTTTGGTGATAGTCTGTAAGTTAATGGTAATACACAATTGAGTATTCTTTTTTGTCTGATCTTATTTATAGGTTAATCTTAGAAAAGCTCATTTTTGAGTGAACGCAGATGTAGAGGTAGTAACTCTCAGAGAAGACAGCCTACATCTCTTGGCGATCTGTTCCTGGCGTTTTTCTTTGGCCTCCTTCATTCTCTTTGCAAAAAGTTTAGCATATTCTATGGCCTGTTTCTTATTTTTCTTGGTATGTTGTTTCTTCAGAGCAATGCGCCAGTGTTTGTGTTGCAGGACATGCAGAGTAACAAGGCGCTGAATCTTGGGTGCTTTAGTCCTAGGTTTCTTACCTTCTTTGCTTTCTCACAGGCATTATCTTTAGAGAGATTGAAAAGTTTGAGGGTTCTGCTCTCTCTGGGTTCCCAGGCAATGAAGCACAGTAGTATCTATGAGACCAGAAATATCCCCCCCCCCTTTTTTTTTTACAATGACCAAGTTGAGAACGGTGACATTGGCATCCACAACGCAACCCCAAATGGATTTGCGCTTTCTCTCTCCGGTCCTCCTTGGTCTATAACAGGAATGCCCCTTTACTCAACAGCAGGTGGAGGCAGCCATGGGTTAAGACACCCTGCTTCATGGGGAAACCTTGTTTGTCATTCCCACCACTGATTCGAACCACATAACCCTTCCATTATTCACATAGAGCATCATCAGCAGCTTTTGTGGCTTCTCATAAAAAGATACGAAGTTTGCATTCATCATCCACTTCAATGGTTTTCTGGTAGCCAGTGGCTGGGAAAAAAATGTTCAGCTTCTTTCTGAAGGAGCCAACTGTCTCCGAGGCACCATGAGAAACAGACATGATTGAGTATTCTTAACCCAGTACGGAAATTCCATCCTCAGCTTGCAACTGTAGTTTAGGTAGAGTGTCATTAGTAGTACTATAGACTGATAAAACTAAAGCACAATCCCAGACCATAGTGTGCTGCTAAGACTTACAAAACAACCACAAGATAAGGTTGTGTATAGAATATTTATATGACCTAAAGTAAAAACAACCGTGTCTCACATGCTGGTTTTATGTTGGTTCTGTTTACTATATGAAGTTTTAAAAATCATACCTTTCCGTTTCATGACTGAAAATGAGCTTGTGATCTACAGAAGTAAACTAGCAATGTTCACTAGATGGCACTGTGGCCTCTGTACTGTAGCAGCTTGTCACAGATTTTGAAGTGATTATGTGATGCTTTGGCAGGTATAGCCTTTCCCACAAATGTATCTGAATGGATGTAAAAAAACACACTTAAGTAAACAGATGAAGGTCAATTGTGGCTCTTTCTTGATACAGCTAGACTGTAAAAATACCATAATTGAAGTTTCAAGTCAACAACTATTTATTGAATGCCCAGTCTGTGCCTGCTACTGCACAATAAGTAGAAGACATGATCCTTTCTATAGCTAAGCTTAAACTATTATTGTGGAAACCGGATTTACATATGTGCAATCATTAGAAAGTAGAAGTGTGTGCCCTCGTCGGTTTGGCTCAGAGGTTAGAGCGTCGGCCCGTGGACCAGAGAGTCCTGGATTCGGTTCCCACTAAGAGCACGTGCCTTGGTTGCTGTTTGTCCCTGGCCCGGTTGGGGTCGTGTGGGTGGCAACCACTGGATGTGTCTCTCTCGCATTGATATTTCTCTCTCTCCCTCTGCCTCTATCTGAAGATAGATGCAAAAATGTCCTCGGGTGAGGATAAAAGAAAAAAAAAGAAAGTAGACGTGTGCAATTGAATATCAAATTATGTGGCATGCACCATATGAATTTATATAAAATATGTAGATGAAAATCTTCATGAATATTGATTGAATGTGCATATAACCTGAATCTGAAAAGAGTACTGATATGTTACAAGACAGAGTCAGATTTGAAGAGACCTCAGTAGTCTGAAATGATCAGTTTATTCTAACAAGATGAAAAATAGGGAACAACAAAACATCCTGGTCTTGGATCTTCAAAACCAACAGTACAAGAATAGAATAGATGAAATTGGCTTAACAACAGAATGTGTGAAACATTTGGGGTTGTTAGTTGACTGTAGGCTCAACATAAGCCAATCATGCTAAGGAAGTTTATTCAAATTAGGTTGCCTCATTAGAAATACAAAATATAGAAGAAGAGTGGTAATCACCCTGTATTCTGCTCTGGTTACAGTATATCTGAAGTATTGTGTTGGACTGTATTGTGCGGGGGGCAATACTTTTGAAGAAGGATGTTAACAAACCCTAATGTGCCAAGGGGAAGGCACTCAGGATGGCGAGAGTACTTAAAACCATCTTATTTGAGGAATAAAGGAAATATGGATGTTAAACTTGGAAAATAGAACATTTAGGAGGAACATGATAGCTTCCTTCTAATAATCGAATGGCTGTCAAGAAGTAAAAGAATTTAATTTATTTCTTGCATGTTTTTATAGGCAAGCACTATAAAGAGTGAGACATCAAGTCATCCTAAGGGAACTGTTTAATGATTAAGCCTGTCCAAAAACTGAAATGGATTTTCTTTTTTAAAAAAATATCTTTTTACTGATTAGAGAGAGAGGAAGGGAAAGAGAGACAGAAACATCGATGTGAGAAACATTGATGTGAGAGAATCATTGATCAGCTGCCTCCTGCATGCCCCCCTACTGGGGATCAAGCCCATAACCAGGGCATGTGCCCTGACTGGGAATAGAACCAGGACCTCTCAGTCCATGGGATGACGTTCAATCCACTGAGCCACACTGGCAGGGCTGAAATGGATTTTTTTTTTTTTTAGAAAAAATTTTTTAAATATTTTTTTCTTTATTGATTTAGAGAGAGAGAAAGGGAGAGGGGGAGAGAGAGAGAAACATGGATGTGAGAGAACATCGATTGGCTGCCTCCTGCATGCCCCCCACTGGGGATTTGGCCCACAACCTGGTATGTGCCCTGACCTGGAATCAAACCAGCAAACTCTTGGTGCATGGGTTGATGCTCAACTAGTGAGCCAGACCAGTTGGGCTGAAATGGATTTTCTTAAGGTTCCCTCTCGCTAAAGGTATTTAAGCAGAGACTGGATGACTACGGGATGAATGTTATAGAGAATATTCAAGCATCAGAAGAATTTTTTTGATAAGAGAATTTTGAGGTCTCTTCCAACCATATTGTTCTAAGATATCAGTATAATCTGATAAAATCTGTAGTAGTCAAGGATTTTATATAGTTCATAATTTCATAGATGATTGAATTTTAGAACTAAAGGTACCTTTACAAATTTCTCTGAAAAATCAAATTCATTGAAGTATAATTTACATTAAAAGCACGCATTTTAAGTATACAGTTAGACGATTTTGACAAATATATACCCCAGTATATGCACTACCCCAGTCTAGATGTAGAATACCTTCATTACCCCCAAAGTTTTTCTCGTGCTTCTTCCCAATCTCTCCACTCACACAGCCCCAAGCAATGGCTGATATTCTATCACTGTCAATTAACTT